TCTCTTCTTCATTTAGTCTTTCAAGAATGGATTCCAAGAGAGAAAAATGAAAGTTAATGTACTGAGCCACATGAAAAAGAAAAAACCAAAAAGCAAGCAGAGCATTTATGAAAAGTGCTGAGTGAGGAGGGAGAGACAAAGAGAGGTTCAGAGTAATAATATCCATACATCACTGCTAATTTCTTCTGTGTCTTTATCCATGAGAAAAATGCAAGCATTATTTCTGGAAGGTCCTTGCAGGAGCCTCTGCAATAGCGGAATATCTGTTTTCTTTAGCTGTTTCTGCTCTGCAAATAAAAAGAGAATTAACTGTAGTCAAGAGGTCATTCTACAAAAAAAAAAAGAAAAATAATTTTCTCATTTGCTTTACTTCTTTAGCTTATTTGAAACAAGATCTGAAACAAAAACAATTAGAATCACTCTTCAGAAAAGGGGCAGTCATTCATCTTTTCCACTTATCCATGGGGAATATGTTTCAAGACCCTGATGGATAGTGGATGCCTAAAATCACAGATAACACTCTTTTCAGTACTTTTAATATTTCATTCATCCTTGGGTTTTATCCACTCAATTATAAAAATGAGACAGAAAAAGAAAATTTGGTATATTCTCAGAACTTAAATTTCCTAAAGTTATCATATAAATACTCCCACCATAAAAGTACTCCTAGCATTCTGTCAAAGTAGTTTCACATCTGGGGCTGCATTTTTATCAAAATGAAGTGTTATGAAAGCAGCACCCTTTTATTCACCATCTTTCCTCATTCTCCCTTCCCTACTCCTCACTTCTTTCCTCAGAGTCAAGACTGTTCTCATCCCTGGGGCTGAATTTACCTCTGAAAAAGCAATGCAAGGGTCTGGAACTCAAAAGCACCAGCAAAGTTAGATTGGCATTACAAACTGCTGTTTCCATGAAGTACCTTATTTTGAGGGTACTTTATTTTTAGGTTATCTTTGTCTGAATTTGAGGCATATGATTAGCATTCTAAAACCATATCAGAACATAGTCTCATATGTTTGAATTCCTGGGTTAAGTTCCAAACCCCAGGACCAACCCCCATGCCCCCTACAACAGAACAGCAAAAAACTCTTTCCCTTTTCTCTGATCCTTCATTCCTTTCCCCCAACAAAGTCAGGTAATTTGCTCTTCTTTCAGCCCCATGGGCTAACACACAAAGAGCTAGGCACAAAGACTGATAAAGCTTTCTTACCTCCTGTTGCAAAAATAATGTAAAGAGCAAAATCCTGAGGACTGTTCTCAATCTGTCAATGGGAAAAAATAATAGGAAAAAAAAAAAGAGGAGGGAAAAAAATATATATATATACACACACACACAGGATAGCTAGAATAATTGAACTACTAATATCTGTTGGTTTATTGAAAGAAACTGTTAATGTGTAATTGTTTGATCAATCTTGCATGCCTATATCTGGTTACATGTGCAACCATTTTGAAGATGACATTATGTAAAATAACAAGCATTGTTAACATCCTACATCATGTATTGAAATTCTGTATCATTTTTATTGCTCTCTATGCTGTTTTGTTTATGTATTTGTTTTTGTTTTTTTTTAAATGAAAAACAAAATTTATATGTATATATAAGGATAGCTCAAATAGGTGTATTGCTGATGTCTGGTTTATTGAAAGGAGCAGTCAATGCTTAAAATTTTCTTTTTCCTTGACCAATTTTGCATGCTTGAATTTGGTAATCAGAATGACTGATCTGAAAACAACATGCAGTATAAGAAACATTGTTGAACTCCTACCATCTTGTATGGTGAAGCTCTGCATCATTTCCAATATTATTTTTTCTTGTTACTGTCTTTGATTGTTTGGTCAATCTTATATTTTTATGTTTGGTGGACTAAGCAATTTCACTGAAGACAACAGCATGTAATATAGCAACCATTATAAATTTCTATCATTCTGTTTTGTGGTCATATATCATTCTTGTTGTTTTTGTGTTGGTTTGATTTTGTTTTCATTTTTGTTTTGTCAGCTTTCTAATTTTTAAAATAAAAAAACCGCTAAAAATGAACAAACATGTTTTGCTGTTTTTGTTTTCATCTGATATTTTCAAAGACAGACTGAAGTTATGCATCTGTGTGCTCACTTCCTTTTTCACTTACAGACTTAAGAATTTCTCTGCTCTACTGAGAATAATGTTATGTCTCAGGGCATATATATAATTTCTGTATGAAACTAACATTGGTTAATATATGTTGTGTA